ACTAGGCCTCCTACGAATACCATCAGCTAGCCAATGTCGACTGTCAACCACTCAGGGGAGGGCCTTCTCTGTGGCCGCTCTGGCCCTCTGGAACGATCTCCCCGTGGAGGTCCGGACCCTCTCCATCCTTCCGGCTTTCCGCAAAGCCACTAAGACCTGGCTATTCCGGCAGGCCTGGGGCTGATGAGTTCCCGGCCCCACTTAAATGGTTATGACTGTTGATCTGTTTTTAATCTTGTTTGTTTTGTCTTTTGTTTGTATCCCCCTGCCTCTCCTGCTTGTTAGCCGCCCTGAGTCCCTCGGGATAGGGCGGCATACAAACCGAATAAATGAAATGAATGAATGAAATGAAATCCTTGAGTAGTTTCCATCTGTTATTTCTTGTCTTGCCTTTTAGTGCTTTGAAAAATAAGTTGACCCCCTCTTCTTCGTGGCAGCCCCTCAAATACTGGAATACTGCTATCATGTCACCCTTAGTCCTTCTTTTCTCTAGACTGTCCATAACCAATTCTTGCAACCGTTCTTCATATGGTTTTGTCTCCAGGCCCTTAATCATCTTAGTTACTCTTCTTTTCACTTTTCCCAAAGTCTCAACATCTTTTTTGGAATGTGGTGACCAAAACTGGATGGAGTATTCCAAGTGTGGTCTTACTAGGGCTTTATAAAGCGGTATTAATACTTCACATGGTTTTGATTCTATGCCTCTTTTTATATGACCAAGGATTCAAGCCATTTAAAGTTGCTAGGTCACATCAACCTGGTGAACTCATCAAGTATTCCATGTATGTGTGAAGCTTTTCTGAAAATGCCATGAGAATGACACAGAATTTTGTTACAAAAGAGAAAAAGCAAGTTGTGAAACGGCTTCCTGTTATGAATTCTCAGAACAACAATAAACAGGGAAAGTTAAAAAGGCATTCATTTAATGTCCCCCTTTTTTAAAAAAAAGAAACCTCAAAAGATTGTGAATCCATCAATCTGGATACTTAAAAAGCTAACATGAAAATGAATCTGACCCTGAACCTAAACAATGGTTAACCAGGCTGTCAGCAAAAAAATATGTTCAAAGACAAACTTCACAAATCTGCCACTTACTTCAATGGATTTCAACAAATCCAGTGACTCAATTTATTGTCATTTATATATAAGCTACCATG